CGAGAGGAGCCGAGCTGCGGATCTCGGAAAGGTCCATCTGGAGCCGCACGGTGCCCACGTACCTGCTCGGAGCCGAGGCCGATACTCACCGCGTCCCGGCTCCGCAGCCCTCCTTCCCTCCGGGGAAGCCTCTCCCGCCGCCGCGGCAGCTCCCGGCCCGTGTTCCGTGTTAACATTTGTGCTACCTCACACACGAGCCTCTCCCGCAGACATATTTTTCCACGGTTTTCAAGCAAATTTCCCGGTGCCACAATGTTATGATGGAAGGATGCTGAAATGACAGGCCTCGTAGACGCTTGTCTTAATCATCGGCTTCTTAATTTAGAGCCAGCGCCGCGGTTGCGCGCGTGTGCGCGCAGGAGCAGCCCCTGACAGCCCGCAGCCTCCTGATGGGCGCCGAGGCGACACGTCCCGGGTGCGAAGACCTCTCGCTGGGAAGTTTAGTTGACTACTGTGCGCGCAACGCTAATCGCGCAGCCTGTAGCGCAGGTTGTTCCGCGAGGAACCCGGTCACGGGGCGCTGCGCAAGGAACCCGCGGCCGTGGGGCGCGAGCGGCACGCGCAGCTGTCCAGGACTAGCTGGAAGCTGCCACGGGAAGACACCCAAACTCCAGCGTCCTGCTGCAACGGGGCAGCTTCGCGCTCTCTGCCTCCCTCCATCCTCCTCCTCCCGCTCCGCTCCCCGTTTTCACCCGCTTTGGCTCCTCTTGCTCCTTCCAGCCTGCTCCGTCCCCTCTCGCCGCCTGGCAGCGGTGTCTGCTGAGCGCTCCTTACCTCAGTGGCAACCTGGAATAAACAAGGGAAGCCGAGAGAATCAGGGCGGATAGGGTTATATAGGCGTCCGTATAGGCGTTTGCTGCACGGAACGCGGTGTCGCTGGCGGTGCGAGGAAAGCGCCCGGGCTCGTTTGGTGCGAGCAGCGGTGATGGCAGCGGAGCGCGGATCAACACCCTTCCCGCGTGGCCCAAACAGCCGCCCTCCCTTCCCGCGGAGCCGGTGCGGTTCGCAGCGCTCCAGCCTCCCCAGGAGCCCGAGGGAGCAGAGCGGCTGCCCCGTGGGAGGGGCGCGCTCTGCGGGCACGGAGGGGCGGCCCGACGGCCGGCTTGGCCCTGTACGTATATATATACACATATACATATACACACACATATATAAAAAGAGAGAAAAGCGAGCTGCACCCGAAAACCGCGGGGAGGCGGCTGCTATAGGCTCCGAGGTCCCCCACTTGTCCTCGAGCTCCGCTGGCTTCTCCCCCTGCCATCCCACAAGGGAAAACTTCCCTCTGGGAAAGGGCCCTTTAGCAGGATCCGAGGCCGGGCAGAGCTGGGGGGCAGCGCGGCCGCTTGCTGCGACGCCCAGAGCTGCCCCCGAAGTGAACGACGGGCTGGTCGGGGCTGAGGGGGAGGCCCTGGCGTCCGAGTGAGGCTCCCGCATTTCCAAATGCGTATCTCCAGCCTCATAAATGGAGAAAAACCTGCGGAGGAAGAAAATCAGACAGAGCCCAAAGTTAAAGTCCAATTAATAATTGACGTGATTCCCCTTATATATGCTCTCCTGTCCTGTAAACAGTGAATTTATCTTCATGGGCTTAGAAAGAAATGTGCTACATTTTGAACGCAACATTACCTTTTTTGGTAGAATGCACGGCATATGCACGGCATTAAAAAAAATAGCATAATATAAATCCCAAGTTTGTGCACAGTGCTTTATTCTGCAGCCATGACAAATGACTGAACATGAAATCTGGACGATGAGGCGTTCTAGAAGCGTGTTTCTCTCAGTATTAGACCTTGGTCCAGAAATACAAAAGGATGAGATGTTTATTTTCTTCCCTGCTGCATTTTCATCCCTGATCACAACGCAAAGTAAACTCAGCATTGACCCAAGAAACACCTCGGAGCATTAAAATTTCAAGAGGCGACGCCAGAGCTACATTAGAGGGGAGAGCTCCTCCAGTGCGCTGCAGAGCTGGGGTTTGAATAAAACGTTCAATGTTAACAAACAATACACACGTTTGGCACTTTGTGTATTAAATGGATCAAAGAGATTTGATAAGGCACAATACACCATTTGTACAGACCTGATTGAGTTAATATAATATCAGCAAATTTTACAGCGAAATGAATCTGTTTCTTTTCTTTGTGTTTAAAACCAGCACAGATTACAAATTTTAATGATCTGAAAATGTTTGGTATACAAAATCATGCTTATTTCAGTATTAGCAAAAACACAAGAAATTTTTCAACACAAACACCCAGCTGTGTCTATTTTAAAAGCAGTTCAATGACAGCTTGCACTTATGAGCATGCAATCAGCTAATTTCGCTTTTTTTTTCTTCTGTGTTAATCAACACTTTCCTTCCTGCATATCAGAGTACAAATAGTATAGTTACTCCACATCAGTAAATGTTTACGTAACCTGTCCTTTCTCAAGAATCCGGTTACGCCGAATCATTACACGCTAGACCGAGTAGGAAAACGCACTGGGCCCAGCCACCCTGATGGGATCCTAGCGCACCATAATGACACATATTAGTTAATCATCGTCACAGCTGTAATAATATGCAGGGATCTTACCTTTCCTCTTACCCCTTGCCATTGGAGACTCGAGCCGGATCCTCCACGCCGGATCCTTCCTCAAGAATCCCCATACACTGCCCCTGGCGCGGTGCAGTGACATAATTACAGATCGGCATGATTTCTTTATAATAACCGCTTTTCTAGGAAAAAAAAAAAAAAAAAAAAAACTCGTTCCCGTCCTTTTTTTTTGTCTTTCCTTTTTTTTTTTTTTTTTTTTTCGCCAGTAGCAACCTGTTATGAAATTGTGTAAATAAATGCACTCGCGGTAAGGTCACTCGGGGTTAATCCAACGCGCAGGGTTCACGGCATTCCCGATCGGAATTGTTTATTCCCGCTCCATTGTGGCCGCGCTCGCTATTTACCCTCCTGCTCCTCTGTGGCACAAGCCGCAGCCCGGAGCGGCTCGCACCGCTGCGGCTCTCTCCTTTCCCGGGGAACAGACAACGCCGCGATTCCTATCGGATGTACATGTCGCCGTTGCACACCGCTTTTTTTGTTTGTTTGTTCGTTTTTGTTGTTTTTCTACGGTGATCAATACGCTTTCTGTCAATGACAACCCCTCTTCTCCCACCCGAGAAAAGAAAGAAATAATAATAATAAAAAAGAAATCAAATTTAAAAGGGGGAAATCGGCGCGTTCGGGCTTTGTTTGCCGGCTGTTTTTGCTCCCCCGCCCGCAGTGAGACGCGCTCAGGAGCGAGGGCTTCGCGCGGCCCCGTGTAGCCGCGAGCCCGGCAG